TCTGGTCTTCCCCCGTTTCAGCTGTATGTATACTGCCAGTCTACGAGTAGGTCGGGCATGTCCCCCTGCAGACGGATTTTGAACCAAAATTACTCGAACAATCGTCCCCAGGCGATGTTTTAACTATGTTTGAATGTTCCTCCTGTAGAGGGACACGCCGGACGTAAGTCTAGGATTGCTGCTCTGGTGAAGGGCCCTGTTTCCTCCGCTGGCCCAGGGGCACCCCAGGGGACATCTTTGGGCTCCCTTTATGGGAACCCTTGCCAGCCAAGGCACACGCCACGCCTGGCGACATCGACGCTGGCAGGTCGTCTCACTTGGAGCGGACGGCCCATGACGCGGCTGACCGCTTCGCGAAGGCTGGCGCAGACAAGCACGGGGTGGCAGAAGATCACGCCCCCTTGTTTCGAGGGCTCCGCAGCCTGGCATTCGAAGCGGGGCGCCGTGCTGGCGCATTGGAGGTCCTATGGTCGCGCCAGGATGTGCGCGACACAGCGGGACTTCCCGCGGAGTCGGCGGCGCCCACGGGGCCCCACCCGAGGGTTCCGACCAGGTCCTAGCCGAAGACTCGCGTCCTCTTGACAGCTCCCGGAAGGGCGGAAGCCGGACCTGGGGGATGAGTGGTGGGAGCACGCTCGTTCTGTTTTCGGGCACCGAGGGCACACTTTCCTCGGCGCGCCCGTCCTGACGGCCCAAGGAGGCCCCAAAGGAAAGCTCGCTTTCTGCTATAGATGTGGGGCGGTCGCGGGTGGTGGCTCGGCCTGAAGAGGCCTGGCGAGGGAGTGCCGCGGGCCCAAGAAGGGCACTGGGGGCCTCTCCGACCAGCGTCGCAGAATTCGGTCGAGCAAGTTCCCTTCTTGTGAGCAGGGCAAAAAAAGGCCTGTTGTTGGGGGCCCGTAGGGGCCTCCGCCTCGCCGAGCGGAGGGACTGGCCCGAGACGCCGGAGGGGGCTACGGGCCCCTCTTCTGGCCCCGCGAATCCTGGGTCTGCCCGCCAACGCGCTCCTCTCCAGGCTCTCGCCCCACGAGAGCAGGTCCTGGACCGTTTGACCGATGATGACCTCCCCGGGGTGAGGGCTCGAGGGGAGGCGCTGACCCGTCGCTCGGCCCCCCTTGGGGAGGAGTCGGACTCGGACGCGTCAGACTTTCGCTGGCCCTGGGTCACCCTGGCTTTGGGCCCGTCCCCAACAACAACCTCCTCCTCCTCCTCCTCCTCCTCCTCCTCCTCCTCCTCCTCCTCCTCCTCCTCCTCCTCCTCCTCCTCCCCTTCCCTGCTCCCCTCCCCTCCTCCCCTTTCCTCCTCCCCTTTCCTCCTCCCCCCCCCCCGCCCGCATCCCCGCTGAGCCGAGGAGCGCGCCGAGTGCGCGCGCGCATGCGCCTCGTGCACAAGCTCGGCGCTGCCCAGGTCGCCGAAGGCCCGAGCGAATCAGCTGGCAACCGCTCCTCGATTTTCAACCCTTGGGCCAGAGAGCCCGGAGCCGGATCGACAAGTCGAATCGGCGATCGAGAAGTCGAGTCGAGAAGTCGAGTCGGTAGGTCGACAAGCCCAGAACCGTCGTTCCTTGCGTGGCCGACGCACATGTGCTACAAGCACGTTTGGGCAGTGCCGACTCTGAGCCACCTTTGCCCACGCGATTATGCCGTTTGTGGATCCTTTAGGGAGGGCGCAGCAAGCAGAGGATGCAGACGCGGGCGCTGGCACGGGCAAGAAAGCAAGCCGCGGCAGGGACAGCCTTCCAAGCGTCTGCCCCGATGTCGAGATCAGAGAAGTTGGCGGCGACAAGAAACGGGCCTTACACGAGCAGACACGGCGACCTTCCGCCGTAGCCTCCGCGGGCCGCCGGCGCGGCACGCCACATTGCAAACAAAGGCGCTTAGGCGCGACCTTACGAGGGCAGCTTCCGTAACAGTGTCCCTAAAAACGACCCCCCTTTTTTTGTTTTGCGTCGCTCAAATGGGAGCGGAAGCGTTGGGAGGCTTGAGCTGCCCACATTGGCTCCTGCTCCAAGTCCTATGCCCTGCTCCTGCCCATCCTGCGCCTCGCCCTCCTCATCCTCCTCTTACTCCCCGTCACTCTTCTCCTCCTTCTCCTCCTCAGTTTACTGAGCCTCCCCTTCTAGCCGTCCGTCCCCCGAAGACATGCCTGTGCCTTCTCAGAGACCACCTGCATGGTGGCAGGGTGGGCGGGGCTAGCCTGAAGACAACGCTCTAAAATGGACCCGCGTGCCCCTCTCGAGATATCGGCCTCCAGGCATATCCGAAACAGCTCGAGGTACGTTTGTGCCGGCGCGAAGCACGAACACCTTGAGCCAGTCGATACCTCTCTCTCTCCGTACTGCTCCTCTTGCTTACCCCGCGCCTACTCCAACTCCCCACGTATCCTCCTCCAGCTGTGGGGGCTCGGGATGCCTCGGACGACAAGGTGCGAAGGGAGGGCGCGCCTGTAGACCGCGGCCGCCCCGCGCGACTCGGGGTGGAACATCCACACGATGAACAAGAGC